TAGAGGGGGAGAGTGGAAGAGAGAGAGAGAGAGAGAGAGAGAGAGAGAGAGAGAGAGATATGACGACGATCCTGTCTCGATCGATAACTCGCTCGAGCGTCGTGACATTTATACATACATTGACTTTTTCTATCCTGACGATACGTTAAAGATCAGTAAACGTAGTGCTCGCCCAACGAGATCTCACCCTCCGGTCGTAGTCGCGCTCTAAAATTAATGAGAATTAATATTGGTATACAATTTTCCACGGCGGGAAGACGAAGAGAGGCTAAAAATTCGCCTAGTATAGAAACGAAAATTAAGTCGCTTAAAAGAGGCGAGAGAGAGAGACACGCTCTTGCGCGCGAAGATTGGCGCTCGTAACAAGACTTTTAATATTTTCAATTGCGCCGGATAGTATCGTGCACTACGCGCTCTCGATCGAGAATCCGGGAATTTTCGGCGTAATAATAATAAAGTCTTCGTGGATTATCCGAGCAGCTTACAGCGCCGCTCTTCCGCGCGCGCGCTCGCCTCCTTCTCGCGCGCTGGTCCTTTATCGTTTCCTCTCTCACGAGAAAGCAATATCGCCACCGGTGATAAGATCCACTTCTTATATACAAAAGTACTTCAATTCTTCCCCCCGCCCCTCGGTCTTTTTGCCAACCACAACGACACTAGGATATTAAATAAACTCCGAAACCTTAAATTGGAAATATATAAATATATAGTATATAATATATGGCGATGTGGTACGCGCGCGTTTCTGAATGTTTCTTTTTGGCCTTCGTCTTTCTTTCACCGCGCTAGATTCTTTGAAACGAGGAAATCACCTACGCTACCCTGTTGACTTTCTTTTTCTGGGCGCAGTCTTTCTTTCAGCGAGAAGCATCATTGTATCGCCTGCAGGTATACACCGATTTCACGTCCCCTTTCCGAGTCCGTTCTCGCTGCGGTCGTTCCCTCATTTTCGAGAGGTATCAATTCTTCACGTGTAACTCTTTCTCTCCTCTTTTGTCGACAATTTCAACATTAAATCTCGAATGTTTCGCCGGCAGCGTTGGAAAACCGACGTTTCAGACATCGGGTGGGAAACGTCATTCCGCACCTGGCGTCTTCCGTGTAGCATGACTCTTTCTCTCCCGGGGGAGGATAACGCGAGCCATGCGGGTTAACAAGCCGCGATTTACCTCGTCGTTTTTGCTCTTTGCTTTCCCTACCTATCACAAAGCGGACGAGGAACAGAGACGGAAAATGGAAAATTACATCACCGACAGCGACCCATTTTTACTAACGGCCGCTCTTCCTCCCCTCCTTCCCCTACCTCCCCCCCTTTTTTTCGACGCGTTGAATGCATTTGTTCGTTCCACCTGCGTCGGCCATACTATACGTTATACGGCACCACCTCCGGCGGGGATATGCGCTCGTTGGAAATTGCGGTTGGCTCGATCGAATTTTAAAGCTTTTCCGTCGAGTCGGACGTATCTACCTACTTGCGAGGGAGTGAGACGATGAATTACTCTACCTCAGGGACGATTTCTCGACAAACGTGCCGGGGAATTTATCTAAGAGAAAGACACGCCGCGCGCGCTTACGCCAACGATAAGATGGCCTCGACGGTAAAAGATCTGATAGAACAATAGGGAGAAAATGTTCGTGAGATACATAGGGTGTCCCTAGAATTGTCGGCGGAATCTATAGCGATATCCACCGCTATAGATTATCTGATAGCTCTTTGAAAAATATATCCTCTTTTGTTTAATTAAAAATAAATTTCTATTCACAATTTTATTTCGTCTCACAGTTTCAGAGAATATAGCTCATCACTTAGTCATCGTTCACTTAGCAATTTGACGTGAAAAGGGACGTTAAATTAATAATAATTCGTAATTTTTTTTTAAGATTAATTGTAAGATTAATTAATTTAAAGATTTTTTCCTTAAAAAAGTTTCTTGTGTATTCTATAATTAATACAGGCGTTATTAATTAAGGTTTATAACTTTGAAAATATTTTACTATCAATTCTTTAATCTTTATACTTAATATATAGAAACTATAAAAAAATTATGATTTCATAGTTTTTGGTTCTTGTACATATGTATATTGCTAAAGAATTAGTATTTAAATTAATTTTTCCTGCTATCTAAATTTAAAAGAAATATTTGGAGAAGAATGTTCTATTTCGAAAATAACTAGATTGCTCGATAAGAAATTCTTTGATACGTCAGATATATGTCAAAAAAGTTTATACTTTCTTAGAAATAATTATTGCATCGATAGCAAGAATAAATTACGCTTCAATATTTAATAAGAACGATATGCTCACTTTCGATTTTTTTCGGAAGACCAAGAAACTAAGATAAATCATTAAATCATAGGTTATAAATTATGTAGCAAAAACAAAAAATTCAATATCCAATATATCCATCAGAGAAGAAATTTATATTTTGTTATAAATATTGATTACAAAAAAAAACCCGACAATCTCAAAACAATGTTCGCGATACCATCCATATGAAATCTTCACCGGAAATGACCGGAATGGAAATCGCGAGATTCAGAAAGTTATCTAATGTAATCCCTCTACTTTCGTTCCGCGAATGCGGAATGCATAAGGACACATCGGCTTTAGATACGGGCGCTTTCCATAGAATTTCACGAGGAGATCCCATTCAAGTGGGATCGTATTGATATCTTGATCTAACGACAGTAACGACTGCGAAACTACATAATAAAAGCTTCCCAATCGAAATTCAGAGGGGACGGGTTGCCGCGCGCTCTGTACACGACCTCGCATTTACGCATGTGATATGCAAGGATTAAACCTGGAGTCATCCTGTGTGCGCACTCCTTACTCCCGACCGCGCGCTTCCTCCCCC